CCCCCCCCCGTACACGCCCTGACCGAGGATGGAACGTTCAACCTCTTGGTATATAGGATGATGCTCCAGACAACTAAGCCACCCAGCCAGGGGTGAATATTGAATTTAATAACATACAAATCATCACTGGGTACTAAGACAGTTCAGTGGGGGAAAGAACAGCCTTTCAACAAATGGTGCTGGGACAGTTGGATATCCACATACAAAATAATCAAGTTAGACTCTCTCCTTACACCCTATACATAACTTTACTCAAAGCAGATCATAGAACTTAATGTAAGTGCTAAAACTATAAAAATTTAAAAAAAAAACAGGAGTAAAACCTCATGACCTTGAATTAGGCAATGGCTTTCCTAAATATGACACCAGAAACACAAGCAATAAAATAAAAAAAGTTAAATAGAAGCACAAATCAAGAAAGTGAAAAGAAAACTCACAGAATGGTAGAAAATATTTGCAAATCATATCTGATGAGAGACTGGTATCTAGAATACATAAAGAACTCTTATAACTCAATAATAAAAAGACAACCCAATTTAAAAATAGACAAAGGATATGAATAGGTCTTTTTCCAAAGAAGATCTATAAATGGCCAATAAGCACAAGAAAAGATACCCAACATCGTTAGTCATTAGGGAAACACTAATCAAAACCACAATGAGAAACCATTTCACACCAAGTAGGATGACTATAATAATAATAATAAAAAAGAGGGGTAATAGGTGTTGGTGATTACATAGAATAATTGGAACTCTCATATATTTCCGGTGGGAATGTAAAATGGTGCAACAGCTTTGGCAGTTCCTTAAAATGTTAAACACAAAGCTATTATATGGCTCATCAATTCCACTCATAGGTATATATACAAGAGAAAAACACTTCCACACAAAAACTCATGCATGAATATTCATAGCATTATTCATAATAGTAAAAAAAGTAGAAACAACCAAATGTCCACCAACTGCTTATGGATCAGTAAAAGGCAATATATTCATGCAATGGAATATTATTCAGCCATAAAAGGAATGAAGTATTGATACATGCTACAACATGGATGAACCTTGAAAACATATGGTAAGCAACAGAAGCCAGTCACAAAAGACCACATAGTGGATGATTCCATTTATATGAAAAGTCCAAAATAGGCAAATCTATAGCAACAGGAAGTAGAGTAGAGAGTAGCCTAGGGCTGAGGGGTGGGGTACGTAGGGAGGAACGGCTACCTGGGCCCCAACCCTAGGGTTTCTGACTCCATAGACCTGGAGTAGAGCCTGAGAATTCTCATTTCTAACAAGTTTCCATATGATGTTCCTGCTGCTGGTCTAGGGACCACACTTGGAGAACCACTGGTTTATATCATCAGCTGGGTGGTGAGGGTAGAAAGCACATGGGGGAGGAGGAATGAAGAGAAAGCAAACATGAAACAGTCATGTCAGAGAGGAAGTATAACTATCAAATAGTGCCAAGACATTATTGGAAGTTTGAGACAATTTTTTTGTTGTTAATCACCTGAGGCTATTTTTTCCATTGATTTTTAGAGAGAGTGGAAGGGGGAGAGGGAGAGAGAGAAACATCGGTGTGAGAGACACACACAGATTGGTTGCCTCCTGGTCACCCCGACTGGGCCAGGGATCAAACCTGCAACCCAGGTGCATGCCCTTGACCAGGAATCAAACCTGCGACCCT